AGGACACGTTAATTTTGATTTTGTAAGGCAGACGGCTGAACCAATGAGCTAAATCCCTGGCCCTAATAATTTTGATTTTGAAGCAAAAATAATCCCCAAAGTAGTAACGACCACCACAACAAAAACCCGCACACAGGAAAGCGCTCTTGGAGGACGAAGGAATTGCGGAGCGTACAAAGGGGAGGGCTTTTGATGTGGTTGCACTGTGGCTGGAACTTAACCTGGGGCAACAGGTAAACTGTGTTACTGGAAGCCTCTACCTGCTGGATTGATACTGTGACAGGTCCTTGGGGGAGGAGGGAAAGAAGGAGGGAGGGGAGGGAGGAGAGTGGTGTCCACAGAGCCACCCCACACGGCCTCCCAGTCTGCTCTTCCCTTGCCCCCGCCGCCATCACTCTCTTCCCTTACTCTTTAAGAAGCCTGAGGCTGGGGACAGGTTTGTGCTCTCCCACGTGTTCATGCCTGAACACACCGGTCAAACTGATGGCTTCCCACTGCAAGCACCCGCAGATCTTTGTATTCTGGTCACTCGAACCTGCTCACCTCTCGACCAGTGCCCAATGGGAAGAGGCAGATAAACATCCTAGTCACCTTGCCCCTTGTTTAGGGTACCACCGAGAGCTGATCTGCATGGCATTCCAGACTAACCTAAAGCAGAAATCGGCAGGTGATTGCAGACAGGTAGCTCACTGTTAAAGATCATTCACAGGAACCCGGGCCCCTCCATGTACACTGGGTCTTATCTATGCCTTGCTTTTAATACAATACTGAGTAGTTGTCATAGAGGTCCCACCACCCACAAACCTACCATCTCTACTATCTGCCATTCCTATTAGTTTGCTGATCCCTGCCCTAGTAGGTTTCAACCCCCTTTGCTCACATCAGTTACCTGCCACATAGTATGCTTTCTTTCCTTGATCTCTTCTCTCACTTCCCAGTGCTTTCTGGGAGCCCTTCCCAAAAGAAGACTTAATGTGACATTTTCATTTCTAGGTCTGCTTTAGGAGCACCCTCCTAACACTCTGTGCAAATGTGTACTCAAAAAGTGACGGAATCTCTCTGGAGTTTTGCCTTACCCTTTAGTCCCTTCAGTTGCCAGGGTTTACACCCTCAGAAACACAACAAAGCAAATTGGAGCTTGCTTCAAGGAGGATGATTCTGCATGTTGCCACTACTACAGAAGAAAGTGACCCCATGTCATGGAGTCCTTTTTCATCCCTTGGCCTCCTCCTCAATCTCTTAAAGAGACAGGCTGCAGGAAAAACCCAGAAGAAAGCCTACATAGCAGAACCAAGGATACTGGCTCTGGATCCATGAGTACAGCTCAGTACTCTGAGCATTTTTTGCTTGTTTGGTTTGGTTTTTAGTCTTAGGAGATGTAATTACAGTGGCCCAGTTCCCTTTCAGAGGGCCTGACCAGTAGCCATGGTGTCTGAATATTCACTCCTTCTGGGAATAGCTATCAAAGTTTTTGGGCCCAGTTGTCCTGGTGTCTAGCACATATCTCTTCCTAGTGATACATGCACATATAAAGTGACTGCTACTCAAAATCTGACATAGAATCCCAATTTACATGTACTTTTTGTGCCCCTATATCTCTTGAACTCAGTCAATTAATTTTGACTTTTATCATGCAGATTCAAGAGGGTCTTAGCAGATTGGGGAAATAGATGCATCAGTGCCTTGCCATTTTTATTTACACATTGTAGAGTAACATAACACCCCAAAACTTAGCTGCCCATGAAAGCAAGCATTTATGAAACAGTCTCTGTGGGTCAAGAATATAGCTGAAAAACACTTCATTCAGAACTTTGGGGTCCACCTGGAAAGAATCTATTTCCAGGCATGTTCACGTGATTGTTGGCAGGATCTAGTTCCTTGAAAGACATTAGACCAAGGCCTCATTTTCTTGCTCGCTATTGGTTGGAGGCATCCTTGAGTTAATCATCACTTGGGCCTCACCACAGGGATGTGGTGGTGAGGAAGTAACAGAAAGAAAGGCCCAGAAACAAATAAGGCTCAGTCCTTTTAGAACCTTATCTTATAAGTGACAGCCATCATCTTTGCAGTATTCTTTAGGGGCAATGAGTGGACTATGTAAGAACATGACTACTGAGAGGAAGGGATCTTTGGAAGCGTCCTACCAGCTTAGACGCTGCCTACCACAGCACTGGTAATTACACTACCAAATACTTGAGAATTATGTAAGAATGAGGTATCCACCTAAGCACACTTTGCTGTTGTCTTTAATCATTAAATCATATTGATTGCTTTAGAATTAGGTCTTCCCAAGACACCTCCTACCAGCTCTGTGTTGTTGAAGAAGCTACATAGAGAATACTTCTATCATTTAAAAGTCTCAGCTCCCAATCTACTTTTTGGAAAGTGTCTTTCCTGGACTTTCAGCCCAAAGTAATAACTGCCTCAGAGTTCTTGTTACACTTATTTTCTATATTGTTTATGTGCCATATAATCATGCATTGCTTTGCGACAGTTCTATTGTTATCTTGAATTACTCCTTGAATCTTGTATTGTTTAATTTCCACACGTCAACATCTTGTCTCTCCATAAGAATTATAAACAATTTGAATGCAGCAGTTGTCTAATACTTCAGATAAAAACAATGGCAGTGGCGGCTTTCTTTAAATACATGTTGACTTTTTCCTTTGACAACATTTATTTTTATGACTCATGACCATGATTTTTCAATGCCCACTGAAGGCCATAATGCCATTGGTCACCATACCAATTTATTCTGGTTTGTTTGTTGGCTTTTTTTTTTTTTTTACTAATTTTGTAGGTGGTCTTGTTTTAGTTTTTAATTTTTCCCCCTTTACTGTAATTATAATAGCCATTGTTTGTCTGCCTTTTTCTGGTTTTGGTCAATAATTAGGACTCAAATTTTAAAAATTTTAATAGAGTCACAGTTTTCTGAATAAGTGCCTGCAGTCCTCCTCCCTGATATCCTGATTTTGTGACATTGCCAGTGGAGTTGAGAGGGAAGGAGAAAGAAACAACTCTTTATTGAACATTGACTTCATGCCAGGAATTATTTACTTATCTGTGGCTCATGGCTGTGTCTCCCAGAATGAAGATGGATGCAAGTGTGAGATTTAGATAAATAGTGTGCTGTATTTTTATGTTCTGAATGATGGCTGCATTAAACAGGATATAGGAGGCCAGGTCTTGGGAGAGGAGAGTGAAAATGAACACAGCTTGAGGATGTTAGAGTCGACCACACTGTGAGAGCTTATGGTTCTGTGTTCTCAGTGCCTGGCTTACATAGCTGCTCATGATGTCATCTCATGAAATCATCTCCTCAGGCACAGGTGAGAATCTTGATATTAGGAAGAGCAGTCACCTGGAAGGTGAATTTAGTTTCCCTCCAAATTCATATGTTGAAATCCAAAACCCCAGAAGCTAAAACTGTTTTCTTCTTTGGAAATAGAGTTACTGTAGATACAGTTAAGATCATATTGGAGTAAAGTAGGCCCCGAAATCAGTATCGTTGACGTCCTTGCAAAGAAAATTCCATATGATGAGACATACATACACACACAGAACTGCCATGTGAAGGTTACATTGCAAACTACAAGAGGGTAGAAGAGAAGCCTAAGAAGTCAGACCTTCCCCTACTTCTTTTGGAGGGATCATGGCCAAACCAACATCTTTATTCCAGTTTTCTTGCCCTGGGACTGGACACATTTCTGTTGTTCTGTTTTCCCATGCTACATAGAATGTGATTTTTTTTGTTGCAGTGGCCCTGGTGGCACTGATAAAGGAGATTTTTCTGGCCTGAGTTGAGACCCTTTCACCGCACTTCTGTCCTTGGCCCTGAATCAATCCCCTTGTTTGTGCTCTGTTGTGGCCTGCTCTTGCCTGCAGGATTCCTTCCCTGTTCTCTAAAAAGGTATGCTCCCTGCTCCTTCCCCATGCATGTGAAAAAGAAGCCATCAGAGTGATGGAGGAGACGTTTCTGGTCACACAGTACTGGGGAATATCTGAAATGTCTCAGAGAACTCATGTAAAGCCTAGGACAAGGCCATTTTACATGCAGTGTTCTGGGCCAACCTGGCTTCCAGGCTGCACACAGCTTTGGAGGTTCAGGGCCTCTGAATGCTAACGAGAGCTGTAGTTTCTAAACAGGCATGGTGGGTTTGCTGTCACTTTCCTTTCCAGTCATAGCCTGCTAGTCTTGTCTGTCTTATTGAAATTAGGAAAGTTCTCTTAACTTTCCTTATGAGATGAACAGCTGTGTCATCTCTTCCATTCATTGTTGCAGAGTCTCCTATCTAGATCACGATCTGTTCCAGCAAGATTCAGCTATAGCGCTCAGCAGCAGTGGCGGATGGCTTGCCAGGGCAGTTGTCATGCCCAAAGAAGGTAGAGTGGCTCACCTATCAATACAGGGAGCAAAGGCACTATCTGTCATCCAACCCAGCGTTTCTCAACATTCGCACTCATGTCACACTGGGCCAGGTCATGTTTTGTAGTGGGGCTGTCCTGTGGTTCGTAGGTACAGCACTTAGTAGCGTCTTTAGCTTCTGTTCACTAAATACCTAGTTGTGATAACCACACGTCTTCAGAGGTGGTCGAAGTTCCCTGGGAGAGCAAAATCACCCCTACTTGAAAACCACTGACCTCATCCTGACAACTGTCAGGATGTCTGAGGAGGCCTTAGGAAGGGGAAGTGCTGGCTAATGACTTGGCTGCTTGGAGGAGGAACTACACAAAGCAGAAAGATGTCGGGTTTCCAGGGATTTTCAGAAGCACAGACGTAAAAGTGACTTTGATCCTTGAATATTGTTGTAGATTCCAAATATCAGAGTTGATTAGTTGTAGCAATAACATTACTCAGGGTTTCTTTTGGGGGCCAATGAGTTACTTAGACTCCACCCTGGCTTTTCCAGGACAGTTTTGCTTAATGCTTGTTTGCCTAACATCATCAGGAACAGGGCTCATTTCCTGATTTACACAACAGATTATGTGGTTGTCTTATCTGTGGGCCAAGCCCGCCTCACCGCTGTGTTTGTGGGCAGCACTGTACTACTACTAAGGATGTTGTCAGTCCAGTGTGTACTTGGGCTCCCAGTCCTCACAGCTCTCTGTTGTTTTACTCTGTATTTCAGCGTTCCTAAAAGGGACACTTCTCTCCCATTTTAACATCCTTGAATCCTCAAAATTGGTAGCTTTTTGCCGTTGTCCTTGATCGGGAGGCAGGTGTGATGAGGTCATTGTCAACCCATGTTTGTATTGGGCTGTGGTTGCCATTATCTCTGCTTCAGTTGACATACATATTTTTGGTACTTCCATGTGTCACTTATTGAAGTATCCACTGTAATTTGGCACTGAAAGACAAAGTTATTGTATATACAGAAAGGGTATAAACTTGATATTGCAAAGCTACCTTTATTGTTGGGGTAATGAGTTTGATTCATATTTTCTTGCAAAGAAGCCACTGGGATATAAAAAAAGGGAAGAAAGTTTTTGAGGCATTTTTAGGTAGCAAAGCATTGGATAACTTTCAGTTGATGATGGAATCCCCCCTTTCCATCATCATGGTACATCTGTAATTTGTGCACCTTGGGTTCACTGAATGCAGTGTGTCACTCCCCAGATCCTGGGACGTCGTCTGAGGATATGCCTGAGTTGGAGACTCATGGTGGACCCCACATTTCAGTAGACAAATGAATAACTCCGGGAATTAAACTGTGCATATCCACATCTACCCACAAAAGGCCTGATTTATAAGCCAGGGCTGGGCCCTAGCAGCACTTTTCTAATAAATATCTCAGGAGTACCTGACAGATTGTCTGCACCACATCCTTTAGAGACGCTGGTCAAGTTGCTCCTCTTCATCCTGTTCTGGAAAAATGTGAGGTGTGATAAGGGGAAAGTTCTGCCGGCACTGAGTTCCTTCCTTCTATGGGTCTTCTGCAGGGGACTTTCCTGGATGCTGCACTAAACACTGTGTGAGCCTGGGAGGCTCCTTAGCCATCCTGCTGGCTCAAGGGAGCTTGTGTTTTGGGTTCTGAGTAGCCGTGGGTGACTGCTCAGTTGTCTGTATTGTCTGAATGCATTTACTTGCTTTATCCATGCATGTTATAGAGAGCAGATAATAGAAAAGCAGGCAGAGTATTTTTTTTTTTTTTTTGAAGGAGCAATCCTAAAGTTAGTGGTGGAGATAGACTCAGAACTAAGGAGAACATTTTGGTGTGAGCCAGACAGGAAGAGGCAGGAAGGGAGCAGTCAGGACCACCCCTTTCTTTTCTTCAGTGCTTTCAGATTTACCAGTTTCTTCCCCAAACTGCCACTTGCATCTCCAAGTTGGAGTTGGGTGCTGTCTAACATCAGCTCTGCTTACGTCCCTTTCCCTGGTGCATAACCAAGTGCATTCCCTCTCATTGTAAAGAGGGAAAACACTGGGGAGTCCAGACATCCACAGCCACTTGATAAGAAATCCTGGCTTCTGGCCTGAGCTGTTGCTCAGGGCACCCTGCTTGTGGGGCTTGGAGATGACCTTTCAGAAGCTCTCCTCCAGATTCCCCAGGCCCCCACCCAGAATACAGACTATGGTGGGCATTTGCACTAAATGCACTAACTTGTCTTTCCTGAGCTCGAGGAAGGCAGTGTTTTCCCCGACTTCCCATGGGTGCCTTGTGCTTTTCTTCCCTCAGTTCGTGTCATCCTTAGAGTTGGTGTTTTCTAGGACACCTTCACAAAAGTGTTTTAATGAGCTTGTATATCCGGATCTCTCCTTGGGACTTCTGAAAGGAAGAGAGATTGGGGATTTGGATTTGTCTCCAGAGCATGTAGATCCTTCCCTTCATCCATCCTTATGGGGGATACAGAGATATAACCCACTGTGCCTGTGGTCTCATGGCTTAGTTGTCAAAGAGATAAACATAAGTCACCTAGTATAATAGGAGCACAGACCAAGCCTGTGGCACTGGTAGAAGGAACATGCATGTAGAAGCTTTTGGAAAGTTCCATCCAGACACAGTCAGCAGCTTTGGGACAGCCCAAGAAGTCTCACTAAGGAATAAGGTTTAAGATCCACTTTGAAGACTGAGTGGGCTATACATTAGCAGAAGGCAGGGGGAGGCATTTCAAGTGAAGATAAAATGACCAGACAGGTTACTCAGTCTTCCTGCAGGTCTTGGCGGGTTTTTTAGAAGGTGATAGGGATAAAATCTGGAGGTCTTGCTTGAAAGCTGAGTCAAGACTGATCAAAAAGTTAGCTTTGTCAAAGGTTTCTGGCCCATTCTTACCTGCAGACACCCCTGGTGATCCTAAGTCATTAATCCCCCCAAAGGCCTGTCCTGACCCGAGTTCTCTTGCTTTGACATGTGCTCTCCTCTGCAGCATGAGGAAATAATTTGCTGCCTGCTTCAGTGAACCATCAGGAGAGCCAGCAGACCTAATGACACGTGAGAATATTAACCTCCTACCAGGAAGATCTGTGAATCTTGAGCAGCAGTCTATAATTCACCCTGGACTCCCAAACTAGGCCTCTTTGGTTTTCTCTCTCACTTGCTTTCTCACTTACACCCAGAGAGAGAAGAAGAGACCTGCTCATAAAACTTTATATTCTTCAAGAGTGTGAGCCTTGCTGAGCAGTTTAGTGATGAGTGAGTTTCCTTTTACAATCATGGGAAAATGTATGGGAGCAGGAGTTGGGGGAAGAATTCTTTTGAGTGTTATGTTTTCCATAGGCTCCTCCCTCCTCTCTCAGGATATATATGGTATCATGGAAAGTGGCCATTTCCATGCTTGTGGACCCAAACTTTTTTGTAATTATATACTTTATTGTCAAAGTCAAAGAAAACTGAAGGTTATGACCCTAATCTGAATGTATTTAGAAGGAAATTTAGAGGTTTTTTTTAAGATTCCATGGAGGCAGATGTAGCACTTAACCTCATGGGGTTATTGTGGCCATGTGATTATGCTCTCTTTTCATGAGATCTTGGACCTCTTAAAGATGAGTCCCTTACTCACCTCTTTACTCCCAGTGTCTTAAAGAGTATCTGATCAGTAAAGGCTTCAAGTAAAAGTTTATTGGAAAATGGACCAACTCATCTTTTTGAACCTCAGCTTTTGCATATGGAAAAAATCAAGGCCACAAGGTTGTTGATTCATGGGTACAGCTGGAGTTTTTCCTAGGGCTGAATTAAGGTTCTTTTCTCCTGTCTGCCCTTCTGGTTGTCTGACTGCTGCTCTTGCCATCATGGTATCCTCAGAAGTAGTGTGAAGTACTGAACTAGAACATCTTGTCATCAGTTAAATGAAGAGCCAGGAACCAAAATCAGGGAATAAATATGGAAATGGACCATTGGCTGCAGGGACCAGTGTGCAAGGATGTGCAGGCACAGATGTTTGGCAGAGAGCACCTAGCACAGTAGGAGTCTTTAGGCCAGTAACACCTTCCTTCCTTTGCTAGTGAAGCTCACCGGCCTCACTGTTCCTCAGGCTCCATGTGGGTGGGAGAAAACCTTCATCCCCCACTGAGGCCTGAGTAAGGGATGCTCTGTAAATGTTAGCAGAAGGGATAATGAATGGACCATGCATTCTGTGTCTATTAGCGTAGTTTTCTATTTAGAGACCATTTCATCTCAGTATCTCAGGTGTCTCTACTCAATGTGAGGCACATATACATAGAGGCATTTTGATGACTTATAAACATAATGAAATCAAACATTCTTCTTCTGCTTACTTGACCAGTGCACTGAATAGAGAAACCAGTGTTTCATGTTTACCCTATGTTCAGGTGATTCTCAGCCTTTCTCATCTCTCCAAATTGCTGTCTTCTTCCTACAGTCAGCTTCTATTTTAAAGAATTAATTTTATTAAACCCCATCAAATTAGAGCTGCCTCTGTCCAGGGCATCTCAAGGTCCATTCATTATGGGTTCTTATCTTGGCAGGCGATCGGCATGGAAAGGCAGCTTGGCTATTATGCACATACAAAGCCCATCATTTCTCCACCAATGGTCAATTCATCAAACATTTATCTTTTGCCCTCTGAGCAGTGTGTCACTTTGCCTGTCACTTACTGGTTTGGGTTGCTATGAATGATGAAGCAAAGAAGGTGAGGGGTGTCTCCCTCAGTACCCCACACCCACCCTGATCTTTTTTATTAATTAGATTTCATACTTGAGGTTTGACACACGCCCTACCCCCTGACTCCTAGCTCTTTGGCCACATGACAGTTGGAGATGGCTTTCCACGGTCTTGCTGAACTTTTCACTGAATGGTGGAATGATTATGGCAATGATAAAACTTGGATTTAGGAATTGTTCTCCTATAGCTCACCTTATAGTTTGAGATATTTTAATTGGAAGAGATTTCCATACTTCCCAATTTACCCTTCCCAATTTATAGGAGAATAAAATGAGGGCCTGAGGGGCAAAGATTTAATGGAAGCATTATAGTAGATGGGCAGAGCAAGTCTCAGGTTCTGGAATGTTCTTCAAGCAGAGGTTCTCCTGAGTGCCATCTTCCCAAGCCCTGAGATGGTTCTCAGTGTTTTAGGATTTCTTTTGGAGGTTAGCTACTTGTTTCCTTTTCCCACAGTTATGACTTGTATTTGGATGTCTCCCCAAAACTTTATGCAGTTATAGGTGTGGCTATTTTGGAAGTGGCTGGATTTAGGGTGTGTGATTATGAATTAAGAGTGTGATACTGGGATTAAGGGTGTGGATAATGCAAACCCCACCCTGGGTATAGGTGGCACCAATCAATAGGCTTATAGCCTGGAAGGGATAAAAGGCTCACTGCTGCTGCTTCTGCTGATACTGCTTGCTGCCTTCTGCTGCCATACCATGAACTGTTTCTCCTTTGTAATGCCCCTCTGCCATGCCACCCTATCTTGGACTAAAACATCTACAAACTGTGAACTGAAATGAATATTTCCTCCTTTAACTTGTGGGTGTTGAGTATTTTGTCTCAGCAGTGAGAAAAGTAACAAATATGCCCACATTATTAATTTCTTCTTTTGAAAATAAAATATCCCCATTTGTTTCTCAAAAACAACTGTTCTGCTAATAAACCATCCTTGTACTTTTATAGGATTGTTTTCACATTCCATATTTCATGTGTTCCCCATATCAGCATGTGCAAAGTGTACCAGTCAGGGTATGCTTTCTGCCATTGTGACATTAAAAATTCAGCTTTGCAAGGGTGGTTTTTCCAAAGCCATATGCCATATCTGGACTTGAAAATAGAGCTCATGTTCGCTTGGGGGGTCTCATTTTGCATATCGGCTCACTACATTTGCTTGGCTTCACTGAGTTGACAAGAAATCCTTGATCAGAACCATAGGCTACCTATGTAAATACCAAGGTGGTTTTCCATTGCTGCAACAGCACTCAGATAACCAGAGAGGCAGAGGACATGAGAATCTTGATTTAGCCCCAGGAATGATTCTTGCTTATCACACCACACATCGGTAGCCAGGTGATCTTTCCTTTTCATCCCCCGCATTACTCAGTGTCTATACTCCAAGGGCTAGAATGTGCCACTGTGTGAAATGGAAATAAACCTTACCATGTTGCTCTTTGAGAGGTTTGCAAAGCACAGAGCTAGTACAGTTTTGGAAGAAAGAAGTGACTCCAATACCTGCCACTTTCAGAGCTACCGTATCTCCTAGGGCCTTCTTTCCTGTAGGAGATACAAAGCTATCTTGTAGTCTGGGACACAAAACATGTTTTCACCTTCTTTGGCCAACTGGGACCTCACAGAGTCAGCAATTGGCACATTTTTGTTGGCTTTCCTGGCCTGACTTCATTCCAGGGGGGGCATTGCCCATGGGGAGCTGGTCTTTGGGCAAGTATTTGACTAGGGCCCCTCAGGGATCGTAGGGCCTTG